ATCTATCAACATGATGCATCCCTCTTAATAGTACGGCATTCCTATTTACTCAAATTTAAAAGTATAACGGATTTAAACCTTTTGAGTTGCTCTTGTTTTTGAACCGAAGCCGTGTATTCCAATCTTCATCAAGTGAGGGTGCCAACATGTTGATATTGATCTTTTTCACTTGAGCATAGCCATCTTGAGCACGTGACTTGATTCCATTCATCAAATTTGAATAATCCCAAATGTATCAAGTCACTTCTATCAAACACTCCAATAGTGATTTGATCCTTCACATCAATATGACCATCGTAGCTTGATTAGTACCTCAACTAAATGCAAGTACTTTCTTCTTCACCCTAGCTAGGTTCTTCGGCCGCCAAGCCGTCGCTTGCCCTTCACCCTTGCTTAGTACCTCAAAGCCTTTTCTTGCTATCTTCACCATCTCAAGCCATCAAGTCACATCTTGTGTTGAATCATCCATTCATTTGTATTGTTGTCTTTTTCATTTCAATTTAGCAAGCTTCAAATATGAGACCATTCCATATGCAATCCCTCATGTCTCATTAATTAATACTTAAGAGCTTGCTTTCTCATAGCACATAGAAATCCCACAACAAATAAGCCTTTGCATGAATTCCATTTACATTGTTGTCTTGTGCTTGAACTAGATTGTTTATACAACAACACATCATTTTGGCTTTCATTAAGTACTCATGAGATAACCTATAACCTGTCCACACTTAGCAAACGGGTTAGATCTTTAATCACGTTGTCATTCAATCATCCAAAACCCACTAAAGGGCCAGATGCACTTTCAGGTTTCTTGCAACCATAGAAGTCCTTTGCCGAGCATGGAAATAAGATGTTATCTCAACGTTCACGATTGTGGCAATATAAGCACTTGCCACGCCCGTCTTCGTAGCAAGAGGTGGTACATGCAACGGTTGATAGCGTTGCAATAGAGACATTTGCCACGAACAACGTCGTTGCAATAGTCTGTATTGCCACACCATGATTTTGTTGCCAAAAGCGTTGTTGCCACGACGGTCATAGCGTGGCAATAATACCATTTGCCACGCAATGTTATTCGTTGCCAAAGACCATATATTGCCACGCAATGTTATTCATTGCCAAAAATCATATATTGCCACACAAGGTAGTTTGTTGCCATGGATCATATTGCCTCATGAATGATTTCATTGCAATAGAATCTCACCACCAAAATTTTGTTGCAAAACAATCAGACGATAATAGAATCGATTGCACACACATATATTAATCTCAAACAACCATTCGTTAGATAGAAAAACCGTTGAAATAGTATCTAAAATCACAACCAAAAGTACAGAACACTCTGTATTTCACAAAAACTTGAAACTTGTAGGAGTACAGACTTTCTAACATCTATTCAACACTTGTGGACTTTCTGGTGGTATTGTTGCTTGCTGGTTGTTAGAGATCGACTTGGCAATGGAGCATCAAGAGGGAGTGACATAGACGGAGCACATGGCATAGTAAGGAGTAGTCACCACATGGATGGCTTGCTTCCCGTCGACGTCTAAGCATGGATGGAGATGGAGCAGCCACCATTATGCCGCAAACCTCCACGAGAACAAGGACAAGGACCAAGCAGCTTCTTTATAATGCCCTTCAATGGCAAAACAGCGGATCTGGTGGCAAAACAACAGATCTAGTTAATTATGGTAAGTCATTTAGACCCATAATGTATTGAATTTTGGCATGTGGATCAGCAACTTCAAAAAATTTGGAAATAAATCAAAACAGCATACAAGAAATTTTTATTATTTGAATTAAATCTAGCACCCACCAACTAAGCACATCACCAAATTTCAGCAACATAGGCAAACAGGAAAGATGAAATAAACAAAGCAACATGAAGGAAAATGATCCTATATTTCAAATGTTTAGGCTGTCCACGAGTTAAGCTCATAAACGATGATCTATTCATAATTTTGTTTTGGTGTCCATTATTAAGCAAAAGGGGCTCCAGACCTTGCTAAGGCATGGGAGCGGAGTGTCGTGGTCTTACTCAATCCCTTCCTCCAACCCAGTGTCTTTGGAAAGTCTACCGATAATGCAGAAGTCGGAAGATATGCAGTGGCTCCACTTCGGTTGTGAAACTGCAAGAGAAGACAAACAGGAGAAATCAGTGTTTGTTTAAAGACATATATAGTTAGTGTGGCATAAAAACCCCTCTTACATTGCATTTCTCCCAAATATAATGATTATTTTTCCTCTCTGGCTTCTCTACGTGTAGCGTTTTTTTTTCTTCTTCATGGAAATTCATATAATTTGGATAAACTGCAGTCATATACACAAATAGCTTCATAGCTTAGTAGTATGGTTACTCCAATTTGAATCAACAGGTCTAGCTTTGAGTGCCCTCAAAGTGTTTTTTTTTCTGTTTTTTCTTAGGGCTACATTAGTTGCATGCACCGTTTGTATATATTTAATAAACTTATCCACTTTCACAAATAGTTCTCTAGCTTATTGGTAAGGTAGGTTCCCCTTCAAGCAACAGGTCACAAGTTCACCTACCCGTGGTGCACGTTTTTCTACTTCCTATAAAATTTCAATTTATCTTAATAAAGTGGACTACATTATTTACAAATAGATACATATGCAGTTATATTATATTTGACTTCCCATAAATTTTCAATTTATTTTAATAAAGTGCGGGACTATACCTTATTTGCAAATAGATATATCTCTCTCAAAGAGTTACATAAACATATGTAGTACCACTTCGTTGACATCATTTAAATTTTTTGGAGTGATTATACACCAAAAATATACTGTCATGCAAGTTTTTAAAATTATCTAACCAAATATATATTTATTATTATTATGGTCATGCTATTGCATTTCTATGTTAACTTATTATACAAAGAGTTTACTATGCAAACACAAACACAAACACCTTCATAGTCTACTGGTCGGCCTACTAGGTGTGAGTGTGGTTGGTCTCAAGTTCGAAATCCATAGTCACTTTTTTTATTTACTTTCAACATTTCCTGGTTGTTAATGTATTAACAGTTAACTTATAATACAAAGAGTTTTTTTATGAACAAACTACCATAAAAATGAATATAACATAGTGATGTCGAGTCACACGTATGCCTCTTTTTTGTTATAATTCTTTTTTGTCATATTTTTACTAAACGTGCAACCTTAGCTATTGCAACGCTGTAGTTTCTCGTTGCTATATGTACAAACCTATTGCAACACGTGACTATTACATACAACGAAACATATTCGTTACAACATATGCGCACTATCGCAACCATTAGCTAAATAGTTGCAATATCTTATAGGTATTGCAACACCAATAGAACTTTTCACAACGCAACTCAAATCATGGCAACAGTGATCACTTATTGCAATCGTTCTACAATTAGTCATGATAACACTTAATTTTCGCAACGATCTCCATACTTAGGGTCACGAAACAATTTGCATGGCAAAAATCTCATCTATCGCAACCGAAAGTGCAAATGGTTGCGATAACACCTCCTGTTGCAACCAAATCTTGTCGTGCAACAAAAAAAACATGGCATAAGGGTCAGAAGTTAGTAGTGACTGCTGTTGTGTTGATCGACGATGGACGTGAGGAGGATCACCTACTTCCTCTATATCAATGTGCATAATGTTGGATCAGATTGCTCAAACTCTTCTTCCGCTAATGTATGATCTTATCTAGTGCTAACGATTCTGATCTTCTACTCACCGAAATTCTTTATTAATACATATTGAGACATAATATATATCTTAGTGTATAGCAAAAGCTATACATATAGGAAAACTAAAACATCTTAATACTTTTGAGATGGAGGGAGTACTCGGTCCTAGCAAAGTAGCAATGAGTCTCCTACCCTACGTACCACGCACGTAGATGCATTATTAACACATCTAATAGTCATCGAGCTTTTGTGCACATACCACATGCGCAGACAGCACGGGCGTATCAAATGGATATGTCGGTAGTCACCAAACTTTTGTGTAAAAGATAGTGGGTCCTTGTGTGTCATTAAAAAAGATCGTAATGTCTTGTGTGTCTTTGAAAAAGTTCAGCGGTCTTTAGCGTCACTGCTCCAACTTTTTTGTGCCCTCCATGCCACTACCGTCAGTTTGGGCTCTAACGCCGTCAAACTGCAGATGTGAAAAGTCGAAAATACTCTTAAGTTTAAATATGTCATTAATTTTTTTGAGCATTTTAACGACTTCAAATGAAAAAACTCAAAACTAGAAAGTTGTAGATCTCATCGAGATTTATAATTTTTATATAAAAATTATCTTCATTTAATTCCGCAAAAAAAAAGATATGATTTTTCTAAGATATATTAATCATATTAAATTATATTTTTTGCGGAATTAAATGAAGATAATTTTTATATGAAAATTATAGATTTCGACGAGACCTACAACTTTCTAGTTTTGAGTTTTTTTTATTTGAAGTCGTTAAGATGCTCAAAAAAATTAATGACATATTTAGACTTAAGGATATTTTTAACTTTTTACACCTGCAGTTTGACGGCGTTAGAGCCCAAACTGACGGCAGTGGCATGGAGGGCACAAAAAAATTGGAGCAGTGACGCTTAAAGACCACTGAACTTTTTCAGAGACACACATGACATTGCGATCTTTTTTTAAGCACAAGGAATTCCCAAGATATTGTGGGGCTGTGGACCAAGCTGGCAGCCGATCTTGAGCATACTCGGTCACAGTGGACGCCACGTTAGATCTCCACCCCCTGACGACCGCCTCGCTGTAGAATAGAAAAAGGCTTCCGCGCGTGATCAGCTCCAGAATCCAAGCAGCTTGTCGTCATCGTCTGGCAGACTGGCCCTCGGGAAAGGTCCCACCTGCCAGTGGCACGGATAACCCGAGAAAAAGTCTCCAACAGTGGTAATCTCGTGCCGGCCCACTTCGCTTGCTCACTCGATCCGCTTTGCTCTGCTCTCGGTCTCGGTTCTGCTTCGGGAGACGGTGCGATGTCGTCGACCGCGGCCCCCGTGGCCTTCATCGGCGCGGACGAGCTCAGCGTCGAGCTCGCCGCCTCCTTCCTCCGCTCCGGCACCCGCGTCCGCTCGTTCGTCCCCGAGGTCAGTCTCTGCTCGCCCCGATCACCAACCTTCCGCTCTTCCTCCCCCCTAGTTTCGCGCTGGAACTTCTCCGGTATGATCACGCGCGTGTCTGATTAGTGACTCCTGCGCAGGCGGAACGGTCGCCATCTGCGGCGCTCGCGGAGTTGAATGGCCTCCTCCGGTGCGCGAGCCCAGTGGAAGCCGCGCGAGGTGAGCCTGCGCTCTTGGGCTCCAGTACTGGCTTGATTCTGTCGGTTGTGCCTGATGTGTGCCTATTCCGTTTCAAAAAAAAAAGATGTCTGCCTATTTGGGTTGGTGGGTGTGGAACTGTGGAGTACGCTGCTATGCTTCCTGCGTGGCTGCGATGCATTTGTTGGAATGCCGAGGTGATCGGGTCATCGGGCTAAGTTGATGGCGTTTATCATTAACTGCAGATGCTGCGCTGGTCGTTGTGCTAAGCGATGCTGGTGGAGTTGACGAGTTGTTCTTCGGAGTTGAGGGTATCGCGAAAGGTACGTCTTGAGTCATTCCGTTGACTGCTTCTGGCCACCTTAACTGTCTACTCCCCTGTCCCTAAATATTTGTCGTTTTCGCTGGCAAAATTTGCCGTTTAAACTTGACGGTTTAAGTGTGCCGCTTGGTCACAGGGGAGTTTACAAATTCTCTTTCTGAATCTCTAATAGTTTCACTTTTACAAATCATAGAGCCATGTGATGGATATGGCAAAATCAGTAACATTTCCGCTGCCACTTCTGGGTGTTGCCTATCAACAATTGATACATGGTATGTCTAAAGCTTCTTTACATGTTGACCTAGCCAGTGGCAAACACTGACCTGATATCATTAATGTTTGGAATCAAAGGCTTCAGATAATCCATCCACGTTTATTATCTGTCTTAGGATATCTAGAAAATTGGATCCTTTGCATGCTTGCTTATGTGTTTTTGGTTCATCCACTCTTCTTTGTACGTATTTGCAGGTTCTTCAGCAGTAACTGCAGATGGATCTGCCTCACCACTGAAGGTGTGGAATAGCTGTTTGCATTATAATGCTTGCATCTTGTCTTTTCCAGGGTATGGTATCTTCTGAAAGTTCCAATTCGAGGATCCCAGTGCACGTCTCTACTATTGCCCACCAGCTGTTTATTTCAGGTTGTTTTTTCTGTAAGAAAACAAAAAAACTCATTTCATTCTATTCCAAATGGTGATCAATTCAATGTTATATTCTTGCTTTTACATGAAAAATGTCCTGAGTAATGGTGTCGCACAGTATTCTAAAAAACTAACCATCAAGCAATATATCTTCTTTGGAAATAAGGTTATAAATGTGGTGCTACTATTTAGTTTTGGTGATGCATTTGTAACAGGATCTGCTTCTAGGTTGGGGTAGATATGACGATGCTGCCGTTGTGAAGGTGAATATTTTCTTTTTATGATCATGCTGAAATATGAAAACCCTCATTTGATTACTCATTTGGTCTTTCATAATTTACTGTGTAAATTTTAGATTGGTCTGATGAGGATTGTGATTGCAGGTCTATGAGACATTAACTGGTGTAAAAGTTGAATGGAAGGCTCCCATGCTCAGTAAAGAAGATGTCCTTCGTTCTCTTCCTGCTGAATGGACAGAAGATCCAATTGATAATCTTGTACCTATTGCATCTCAAAGTAGCAAAAAGATTCTTGTAGTTTTAGATGATGATCCAACTGGGACTCAAACAGTTAATGATATAGAAGTTTTAACTGAATGGTAAAGTCAGAATTTAATGTTTTCTTTAATCCATATACATGTTCCAATTGCAAAAATTAATATACGAGCTTCATTCATAAATACTTGATTTCTTAAGATTAGCATGCGATTTAAAACTGCAGGCCTGTTGAAGCCCTTGTCGAACAGTTTCTCAAGCTACCAACTTGCTTTTTTTATTTTGACAAACTCTCGTTCCATGACTGCTGATAAGGTAAGGGAATGAAGTTCTAAGAAGTTGAGTAGTTATATTTGAAGTTTATATGTTGCCTGCTTTTAATTGAGTAATCCTTACAGAATCAGCATGTTTTTAATTGACTGACGACAGGACCTTCGTGCATTGACCTTAAAGAAAGGAGTTAGCTTGGTTCTCCATGGAGCATCTGGTCTACCTCATGAGCTCGTAAAGGTTGGTTAGGTTCTTTCAGTTTTTTTATTTATTAGATTAGTATAAGGCTGTAGTTTGTAGCTATGTTGCAGTGTTTCCTGCACCAACTCAGCCCAAATGGTTAAGCTATTGAGTAAAGGAAGGTAATCCATCCCCCTACCATTTTCTAGACTCTCTGCTAAGCTAGTTCATGCAAATGCTCAACGTGGTATTGGAGCCTAGGGTTGTTTTTTGAAGACTTGTTTAAGCCATTTTTTTACGATTGAAATAACCACATTACCTAAACAACAATAACGACAAAGCCTTTAAGTCCCAAACAAGTTGGGATAGGCTAGAGTTGAAACCTAGCAGAAGCAATCAAGGTTCAGGCACGTGAATAGCTGTCTTCCAAGCACTCCTATCTAAGGCTAAGTCTTTGAGTATATTCCATCCTTTCAAGTCTCCTTTCATTGCCTCTATCCAAGTTAACTTCGGTCTTCCTCTGCCTCTCTTCACGTTGCTATCCTGGCTTATGATTCCACTACGCACCGGTGCCTCTGGAGATCTTCGTTGAACATGTCCAAACCATCTCAACCGGTGTTGGACAAGCTTTTCTTTAATTGGTGCTACCCCTAATCTATCACGTATATCATCGTTCCGAACTCGATCCCTTCTTGTATGACCGCAAATCCAACGCAACATACGTATTTCTGCGACACTTATCTGTTGAGCATGTCGTCTTTTCGTAGGCCAACATTCTGCATCATACAATATAGCAGGTCTAATCGCTGTCCTATAAAACTTGCCTTTTAGCTTCTGTGGTACCCTTTTGTCACATAGGACACCAGATGCTTGCCGCCACTTCATCCACCCTGCTTTGATTTTATGGCTAACATCTTCATCAATATCCCCGTTTCTCTGTAGCATTGATCCTAAATATCGAAAGGTATCCTTCTTAGGCACTACTTGACCTTCCAAACTAATATCTTTCTCCTCCCGAGTAGTAGTCCCGAAGTCATCTCATATACTCAGTTTTAGTTCTACTAAGTCTAAAACCTTTGGACTCCAAAGTCTCCCGCCATAACTCCAGTTTCTGATTCACTCATGTTCGGCTTTCATCAACTAGCACTATATCGTCCGCTAAAAACATACACCACGGGATATCCCCTTGTATGTCCTTTGTGACCTCATCCATCACTAAGGCAAACAAATAAGGGCTCAAAGCTGACCCTTGATCTAGTCCTATCCTAATCAAGAAGTCATCCGTGTCTCCATCAATTGTTTTAACTCTAGTCACAACATTGTTGTACATGTCCTTAATGAGCCCGACGTACTTCGTTGGGACTATGTTTGTCCAAAGCCCACCACATAACATTTCTTGATATTTTATCATAAGCCTTCTTCAAGTCAATAAAAACCATGTGTAGGTCCTTCTTCTCCCTATATCGCTCCATAACTTGTCTTATTAAGAAAATGGCTTCCATGATTGACCTTTCGGGCATGAAACCAAATTGGTTCATAGAGACCCGTGTTATTGCTCTCAAGCGATGCTCGATAACTCTCTCCCATAGCTTCATAGTATGGCTCATCAACTTAATTCCCCGATAATTAGTACAACTTTGAATATCCCATTTATTCTTTTAGATCGAATATACTTCTCCACTCATCAGACATCTTGTTCGATCGAAAAATATGGTTGAACAGCTTGGTTAGCCATACTATAGCTATGTCCTCGAGGCATCTCCACATCTCGATTGGGATACATCCGGTCCCATCGCCTTACCTCCTTTCATCCTTTTCAACGTCTCTCTGTCCTCAGATTCTTGGATTCTCCGCACAAAGCGCCTATTGGTGTCATCAAAAGAGTCATCCAACTGAAAGGTTGTCCGTATTCTCACCATTGAACAATTTGTCAAAATACTCTTGCCATCGATGTCAGATCTCATCCTCCTTCACCAAGAGATGCTCTTTTTCATCCTTAATGCACTTAACTTGGTTGAAGTCTCTTGTCTTTCTCTCACGAACCCTAGTCATGCTATAAATGTCCTTCTCTCCTTCCTTTGTACTCAAACATTGGTAAAGATCCTCGTACGCTCTACCCTTTGCCACACTTACAGCTCGCTTTACAGTTTTCTTTGCCACCTTGTACTTCTCTAGGTTGTTCACACTCCTGTCATGGTACAAGTGTCTATAGCATTCTTTCTTCTCCTTAATAGTCCTTTGCACTTTCTCGTTTCACCACCAAGTATCTTTAGCCTCGTCTCCACTTCCTTTGGTTCCTCCACACACCTCTGAGGCCACCTTCCGAATGTTGGTTGCCATCTTCTCCCACATGTTGTTTATGTCCTCTTCTTTCTTTTAAGAGCCCTATTTGATAACCTTTTCCTTGAATACCTCTGACGTCTTCCCTTTCAGTTTTCACCACTTTGTTCTTTTAATCTTAGCTTGTTTACCTCTACGGGCACGCACCTAAAAACAAAAGTCTGCCACCAAAAGGTTATGTTGTGAAACAACACTCCTCTGGTATCACCTTGCAACCCAAGCATGCTCGTTTGTCCTTTCTTCTTGTGAGGACAAAGTCAATCTGGCTAGAGTGTTGTCCGCTACTGAAGGTCACTAGATGAGATTCTCTTTTTCTAAAGAAAGTGTTGGCTATCATCTGGTCAAAAGCTACCGCGAAATCCAGAACTTCCTTCCCCTTCTGATTTCTACTACCATACCCAAAACCTCCATGAACTACATCGAAACCTACGCTTGTAGTAACTACATGCCCATTAAGATCTCCTCCTATAAAAAGCTTCTCACTACTAAGTACAGCTCTAATCAAGCCATCTAAGTCTTTCCAGAACTATCTCTTAGCACTCTCGTCGAGGCCTACTTGGGGGGCATACGCACTAACTACGTTCAAGACCATATCACCAATGACAAGGTTAACTAAGATAATCCTATCTCTTTGCCTTCTCACTATCTCCTTGCCTTTTCACTCCCACCACATTATTTTTGAGGCTCTTATCAATCAAAACTCCTACTCTATTTCTATTCACAACTGTTCCTGTGTACCAAAGCTTGAAACCTGTATTGTCCACCTTCTTCGCCTTCTGACCCTTCCATTTAGTCTCTTGAACGCATAATATATTTACACGCCTCCTAGTCGCGGTATCAACTAATTTTCTTAGCTTACCTGTAAGTGACCCTACATTCCAACTACCTAAACAGATCCTAGTTGGTTCGACTAGCTTCCTTACCCTTCGCACCCGTTGACTCAGATGTGAAGACCCTTGCTCATTTTTCACTACACCTGGGCGCCGATGTAGCGCGCCACTAAGGATACGACGACCCGATTCTTACTCACTTGACACCGTGCCCAGATCGTGACACGACACGTCACGGGGGTGACGACCCGGCCCTTACTCATTTAACACCATACCCGGGTTCCGATATGGGGCGTCGCTAAGAGGGTTACGCCCCAACGGTTTTCTTTCGGGTTTCATCTCCATTAGAATAGCTAGATTTAACATTGGTTCGCTACGCCTATCACAACCCTCTTCCTTTATCAGGGCTTGAGACCTGCTATGTTGAGACAACATAGGCGGAGTTAACCACATTACCTAAACACTGATTTTTTTTTTCCTGCTGCAAACCTGCAGACAGGTCATGAGTGGTGGATTTTAAGTCTAGTACAGTGTTGAGGTCAGTAAATTTTCCATTGTTCCTGGATAAAATATACTACAGACCAATTCGTGATTCAGTACAGAATCTTTTGCTATTGGTGAGCCCATATCTCAAGTATTATTAGGATAAAACTTATTGTGCAAGCGCAATAACAATGCATTAATTTCTGGAGCAGGAGTGCATAGACTTGGGCGTGAGAAAATTCAATGTGAACACCGAGGTTCGGAATAGCTACCTGTAGTCCCTTAGAAAGCCAGAAAAGGACCTGATTCTTCAGGTCATGGCGTCTGCTAAAGAAGCAATGAAAGCTGTGGTAGCAGAGAAGCTGCGCCTCTTTGGATCTTCTGGGAAAGCCTGAGCGAAGTACTTGCGCCGGCAACATGCAGTACGGGGGGCATGGCTGCGTCATTGGATTCGTGACGATGATGATGCTACTCTGCAGACTGCAGTTGCTTACAGATACAGCTCATTGCGGTATACATAAACCGGAGAGCTCATTACAAATTGTTGGCTGAACAACTGAAGTGCTTATTGTATTTTGCAATGTGGCGCAACTAAGGTTAATTCGTCAGTCGTAATAATGTATGCTTACCCGCTGTAAAATGCTCCATCGTTAATAAATGCCACCGTGTTCGCTGTGCCTTTCTTTACTCTTTTATTCGTCTCTCGAGTATCCTAACATTCAATCTCGAGTATCCTAACGGAGGGAGTAGTTGCATGCTTCAGATCTCACAAAGCAACAATGGACACAGCTTCCAATCCACAAAACCTCAAATCATATCACTGGGAAGGAACTCGGGAGTTCGTGTATTTCATTTCCTTTGCATTTCATGTTATAGTGTAGGGTATGTACACGTATTGACGCCTAACCTCTGCCTGGATGGACCCTCGCCACAATCTGCCTGTTGTGAACAAAAACAGCATACAAGAGGCATAGATGGATCTATCGTTCTAAAAGAAACAAAAGGGAGAAAAAAAAGGAAAACCAAAGTGTCTTCCCTGTCGCGCTTGGAATGGCCTGGATGCATTGGAGGCGTTACGGTGACCATTGGTCAGGGAGAGCCAAGAAGTACTTCGACATGGCCTTCCTGAACCTCTTCTTGTACTGATCCGGAGATATGATGGTCGGTAGAACATCCTTGGAGCCACCTAGAAATCCTGTCGCCTTCACCCAAGTCTCTAGTTGTTTGTCCCAAGTGTATTGCCGAAGATAGTCGATAATCCCCATCACAAGCTCTTTTCTTTCTTCATCAATGCCGACTAGGAGAGAGTAGTCCATCACATCCACCGACTGAGGAAAAGGGGAATGCATGGCAGCAAGAGTTAGATAGTGACAACAACCGCATCTTCATGCACCTTGGTATTCTAAATGAATATGCTAAAAAGTCTGTTGATCTGACCAGTTTACTCAAATAGTCACCATCTATATAAGCTGAACCATACTGACAAGATAGGTTAGATACAAGTTGTCAATTAGAATGGCAACAACAAAAAGAGCCGGGAATCAAATCACCATATCCAAGTAGCCAGCATGAATAAGACCTATCTGAACCATCGACGGTAGTCATGTGGACTAACCACTAACTCTTGCTACACTGGCACCAAAATCACTCATCTGGCAACAGTGTATTTTTCAAAAACCAGTGCATTCAAAGCTACCTCAACCCAGCAACCCCACAGCTTGTTGTCTGCCCAGCCTGCCCCACACCCATCCTAGCTACCAATTACAGTTCATAAATTGCCACTGTAAAGATGAAAAATAGACGACATTTGCCACTATTTATGTATTAATTATGCACTTTTCATGCTGACCTTGCCCATCTTTTGATTTCTTTGCATTTCCTTATCCTGAAACTCCTCTCTGCTAGCTGCCATGCTACACCCTGGCTAGAGACTACTTTCTGCTATCTCTCCCTCCATACCACTCTCTGACCCCTACACTTGTGCAACCTTTACTTCTACACGTGTGCAAACTTACCTCAATTGGCCGTCAGGCTTGTGCCTCCAAAAAAAATGGATAGATCCTCCCCCTCTTACTCACTTTTGTAGTGCTACTTCTACATCTCTCCGCGATGTCACGGAAGAACTGAACAAAGGTTTGCCTCCAAAATGAAAGATTGTGGCTTCTACATGTTTTCACAACTGAATTTCAGATGTGTGGCAAAAGCTGTCTATTTCTATCTTTGTAGAAGCAAATATGAATCACAACAGAATCAATAGGCAAAGCCTCAAGTAGCATGTCTAATATTGGGCATTCAATATTTCCCATATCAATTGGCTGCTTAGGATTTCTTGGAATCTTGAAAATGGTGGGGGAAGGTAGGTGGGCTTTTCTAATGTGTGCGATTGTCCGAAATTCAGATGTCTGGGCACATATTATAGGTCATAGTACACCAAAAGAAGGAAATTTTTTTGTTGGGATCACTGGGTCTGGTCTGTTACTGAGTGAGGAGGGAGAAAGGGAGGGGGGAGCTGAAACACATCACTCAGGATGGAGAAAAATATGTGCAGATCAGGCTAATCAGAACAGGGAACCCAGCAATGGTGCACATCACCAGGGTCAAGCTTAAGGTTCATACTGAAATCCAATGTACCGCCAGATGTCCAGGGTAGATACTGGCATACTTTTCATGTCACGTGACATAAAAAGATTACTACTTCATAGTACCAATCATGATGAAGTGGAAATGAGTGCAAGAAACAGTTTTTTTGGTAGTGACACCTCATATATAGACAAGGTCAGATGAGGCGACGATGTAAAATTAGCTATGCAACCAAGGTCACAGTCCAGATAGAAATACTAGGTTGCTGCATCCAGGGAGTATGGTATATATAACCTTCACCAATGAAATAAGATCTCACAGCAAGTGAGTCTACTTACTGCCAGAAAAGAAGTATCATTCCAGACAGCTCGTTCCAGCCTTCTTTTTGCTTTGCTTCCAAGAAAAATGGGCTTTGTGTGAAGTGTCTCTAACAGATTAAGATCCAAGAGAACCTTGTTGTTCCCTGAAGTATCAGGGTTGTAGCGCCTTAACATAAAGAGCCCTTTAGGTCATATATTCTTGATACCTTCCTCTTGAAAAAATAGGTTTTCCATGACCATTACATCCATCTTCAGCTCCTTTCCATCTCTCAAATTCTTGGTAGTGATCTAGTGCATAAATGCACAGCTATGTTCATTATGTAATCTCACAGGATTTGATAAACACAAGAAGTAACAAAGTAGTAGTAACACGAACCTGGTAAAGACCAAGGACTTTAGTGAGGCAAGTTGGGCTCCCAGATGATACAGAGTCTGTCAAATATTTGAAGTAATCAACAGCATAATCCTCAAATGAATCTAATTCTGTCCGGTCACTTGCTTTATCACAAATCTGTCATCCAGTGTTTTGGCAAAGTAGACATTACTCTTGCCACCTTGAGCACTCCATCTCTTGCAGCGACTTAAGGAGCGGATATAGTCTAGCTCATCTGAACAGCACTTTCTCCTGATTGCATCAAACTGCTTTGCAAAATAACATGTCACAGAAAATTTTGCTTTATCAACAGAATATGAGTCTTCATCCTCAAAAGAAACAGTCAAATGGTTATCCTTAGAGTCATTTCCAGTTATAGGTTGAGGCTGATCAGAACCATAATTCAATAAACTAGATTCATTATTCTGATCTAGAAGTGGCAACAAGAAGCTGCGATATTCTGGAACAGTCATGGCATGGGCTATCACGCTAGATGGTTCATCATCATAAATTGGAACAATAACATCTGAATCATTTTGTGACAGTAGCAACCAACTCTCGCCATCAATCATACCAGGAAGTGACAGCTTGTTCAAGAATGTTGGTGACAGACCCTTACCAGTTCTCTCAATAGCCTTTGGGGGCCTTTGAGAATAAGATCTTCTTATACTAGCATTTGAATCATCAACATTTCTGGAACTGACAGCAGAATCGAACGATTTGATTCTGATTGGTGCTATAACCTTCTGGTATGCAGGATCATCCTTCAGACTAGCAGGTATGAATGAAACTGCCTCCATGCTACTTGATGAATCGTTAACAAACTGACCAGAACCAGTCCATGCTAAGTCAATTCTGTCAGAAAGATTGGAGGCAGAAGATTGTGATTTCTGCAAAGTCTTTCCAGCTTCTAGTTCAGCCAGCACTCCTTCACTCTGCATTTCACATGGGCCTGGGGCAAAGCTGATAACAGTTGAGCCAGAATGCATGGATACATCACCCATAATGTTGGTTTCCAATCCCAAATGTGAAACACTAGTGTTGGTTTGTTCCGTCATAGGGGATGATTTCACTGAAACTGCAGCCACTTCCAACGTACTTGGTTCATTCTGTTCTAGAGAATTCTCAACATTCAAATGTTTACTAGATGTCACATCCTTTGATTGTTCTAATAAGCTTTCAGTAAGCTTCTCAGAACATTGTGCATCATTTGGCACAGTACAACAGTTTTCTTTCGTGAGGGAGTGCATCATGTACAGTCTCCGATCCCATACGTGAATATCAAGTACAAGCTCTCTCCTCAGGCGATTGAGCTCTAGAACATCTATATATGGTTCAAATGTCAGCAAGTCATCTATGATAGAAAACCCTGATACAACCTGAAAAAGTAAAGAGCAATGTTCTGGTCTTTAACTATCTTTTCGATAGCAATCTACAAGACAAATAGAAAACTTTGTACAGTTCAACAGAAATCTATAAAACAAGTAGCATTTCAACTTACGTCATACTTCTTCCACTCAACTTTAACCAACTCCTTAAGATCAGCAACATGTTTATGCAAGCCTGACTTCATACCAATGTTCTGGTCTTTAACTATCTTTTCGATGCAGTCAAGTTTAACAACAATTTCCCTATATAGATGTTCCTTCCTAGCGCATACCTGCAAGTTAAGTCATAAAAGCTTACCAAGGGCAATACATCTCCCAAAATGATGCCAATGGGTTGGCTTTTAGAACCAATTTAGACAAGTTTAGATAAAACTAACACAAACATACATCAACAGCTTCTTTGATGACCCAATCTTGAGCTTTTGGATAAGCAAAGTCCAGTACTGAGGATGGCAAGTTGACAGAAAGAATGTCTACTGGTGAATAACGGAAGACAGCAACCATGCTCCCAAGCCTGTTTGATTGAGAATGCGAACTGTTATGTTGGTCATTATTAGATAAGAAACTGAAGAGTATACAATAAGAAGCTACAAACCCATAAAAACGAAGGCAGTCCCTCTGGAGGGAGTGTCCACAGCAGGCAATTCGATTGGCTGTTGTGTGATTTGAAAAGCTAAGTTCCAGAAACTTCCCAAAAGATAATCCGCGTGCTGCATCTGACATGACTATCCTTTGTGTGGCTGGAGGAATTCCATCTTTTGGTTTGCACCTGAGACACCTGTGCCACATCCATACCTTCCCATCAAGCTCCCCAGGTAGCTTGACAGATGGAAGAGTTCTGACACTGATTGTGAGACTGCCTTGTTGATGAGTGTAACATCGCACATGAGATTCTGCAGGCTCCTTGCAAGATTCGCAGCATGAAGTCTGAAAATATAGGGTGGATGAAAATTAATAAGGTACTGTAAAGCCTATAATAGTAAACTAGCAGATTACGGATGACAACGCAACTACCTGAACAAATAAATCTTCACGAAAATACCTTCCAAGTGGCTTATCAAAAGTACCATAGAACTTTATCCGAAATAGCTGAGATTGCTTGCATACAATTCCTCTCAGAGGGCATGCAACTGACAAGGAAACCAAAATGCTCTGTGGACTGTCAGATGTTGGGAAATATTCGTTGTGATTTCCATTGTGATCACGTATTGCTACAGAATCTTCATCTGAGATATGATTCCAACCATTATCCAAGTCAAGGAAGTCACTATCAACCTTTGACATTCCACCACCTGCTTCATCTATGTGACCATTATGGGGAAAATATAAATTTCCTGGTGTCCTTTTTCTCACACTGGCAAGTGAACTTTTAGGTGTCTGAACAGTCATGCATACAGGTGGAATACAGCTGCCATACATTGAAGCTTCTGTGGAATAAGGGTATACCTTAATGGTTCCACAAGTATATTCTTCCTGACTTAAGTCAGCTCTTGAATGACAGTGTGCATGTTCCTCGTGAATTATGTCAGCTCTTGAATGAGATTGATTTGCAGAACCATTAAGGCAAGGCATGATGCATCCACTTCCAAAAGTTTCCCCTTCAATGGTTTGAAATTCATTCAAATTCTGCTGATAGTATCTTGAGGAAGAATTTTGCTTCTCAAATTGAAGATCTGAGGGGACTTTTGGAAGTGTTGCACCCTCATCAGCAAGATATGAGGTCTCAAGTGACAGGTGGTATGCTGCAAATAAAGCATACTGCACAGCAAGTTTGACTTTCTTTAACTCTTCATATGACTTTCCTCTTAGAAGAACCTAGGAAAAGCATGCCATTTTTATCAGATCTGACGTGATCACAGTATAAATAAAGGCATAACTTTTATCCTATGTGACATAATCACAATATAAAGAAAGGCCTTCAATTTTCCATCAACCAAATAAAATCATATTGTTTGACGTGTAAATGCATGCCATTTTTTTCAGATATATGGCATAATCACAAATATAAAGAAAGAGATCCAAAATAGTAAGTTCCAAATATAGTAAAGGATTAAGAGACTATTGAAACAAAGCATTTGCTATTCACCAAAGAAAATCCATTGCAATGCACAATTGCACATAATACCTTCAGGTGTAAAATAATGGACAGAAAAGACAAATGGCAGAAGAATTTAAACTATTTGGGCCAATTAACAGTAATACTGAATAAAAGCTATCTTTAAAATGCAATTAGATAATTTGATTATTACCGTGCACCCCAAGCGTCTTGGACAACCATCAAAAAACATCAGTGTCTTGACTGTTTTTTTGTTTGAGACCTTTGGTGATGAACATTCTGTAACTTTCTCAATCCAGAATGTTTGGCATTGTCCAACTCCAGTAGAAGTGATATTTTCAACAGAAGACGCAATTTGAGCACCTGTGCAGCGAGATATTCTTTCCAGAAGTGATCTCTTGACGTTCAATACTAAAGATATATCTTTTGCAAGAAGCTGTTGCGCATGCAATGGCACACTTTTCTCGACTAGCAAGACATGTGGGCGTTGAGCCTCTATCTTTGCAACAGCATTCTTAAGATACTCCTTCTCCTGTACACATTGCATCTGAAATCATTATAAAAAAAAAACCCTCGACCGGGAGCATTTCAAATAAGAAGAAGGACCTTCTCACCCGGCCGAGAAAACCCCCAAACCCCCGCCCCCACCCTTACACGGTGGCTTTCCGTCGCCCAAGTGAGAATTGGGCGGTGTTCCCCCAAAGTGCTTTGGTTATGGGGATGGATTTAGGATTTTTTAACCTCAGCCTGAAATTCGCTCCCACGGGGAGTTGAACTCAGGACTTGAGGAGTGCCGCCGGGTCACCTAACCGTTTGAGCTAGGCACCCTTTGGCATTTGAAATCAATATTAAGAACATATTGAGATAAATCAGCATGAACATGTAACTGGAAAATGATGATACCTGTTCAAGAATGCTGTTTATTGAAGCTAGTTTGTTCGTGGCTTTCTGGTATTCCAGTGCTCCTCCCAAAAGAAGCAACCTAGGGTTCTCATGTTTTGACACCATACGTTTATGTTTTACATTCTTAGAACAGACAACACCTTTAATGAAAGCACTGCAAACAATTGAACAATCATTTAGTGCCAAAATACCATGGCGGAAATTTCATGTAATTCTTCAGTACAAGTTGTAGTCAAAGGGCATACCTATCATTTGGATTTCCTGATGCTACGCATTTGACTTTGACATAGTCTGTGGGATCCATGCTACCACCCTTGCTTGTATCTGGCCTGACAAAGGTAGCTGCTTGCCAAGCTAATGAGGCTACTATGTCTGGCCAGCCATCCATGGGATCAATGCCATGTCCTAGGAGCAATTGCGACACGAGAGCCCTGAAATGCCCATGTAAAGCACTCCTCAAGAACTCTTTGTGAGATATACTATGTTTTCCTTTGATCCCTAACAAATCATCATCATCATTATCATCATCATCCTCGCCATCGCAATAATCATGGTTAACATGTCCAAAGACCTTCCCATCACAATCATCATTGTCATCGTCCTCATCATATTGAAAAGTACCATTTTCATCCTGAGGTGGTGGAGGATACCAGATGTGTCTACTCTCAAAATCAATTGGTTGCACATCATCTTTCCTCTGTTCATCATCATGCCAAGGTGAATTCATAAAACTAGAATCAACATCATCTGATCCCCGGCATGAATTCCAAGGATAGCTAGGAGAATGGCAACCCCTCCTTGAGGGAGGACTTGTGTCTCCTACTCCCAATTGTTTGATAGGACTATCTAATGGGCTTGAAGTCCCCAACCGGAAGGTATACATCCTACTAATACTTGTGCTCATCGAATCCGTATGAGAAGTGTCTTGAGAAAACTCACTCTGGGGGGAAAAGTACCGATCCAAATCCTCACCCTCTTCACACCCAATGCTCCTGCATCCACTTATTTCATTCAGTGAAAAGTCTATCAACAAGTTATCCCCTCTAAGCCAAACAAGAAAGTCAATTGCTCACCTCGGGGTTGAGCACCGGAGAGGACCAGGCGATGACATGCGCCGCCAAGCAGCCAGCCTCGGCGCAGGCGGCGTACAAACACGCTCTGGTGGGGACACTGGAGGCCCGTTGTCGCCGAGCCCACGCTGCTCCACGGCACCCCCTCGGCCTCCGTTAATAGGCCGAACGCCAAGGCCGCCGCTGTCCGTCATCGCAAGCACAGTCACCCAAGAATCGGACTTCTGCCCGACGGGCACTCCCATAAAAGCCCCAGAACAGCTAAAAAAGGCTACAGGAAAACCCAAGTTGGAAGTTCTTGATATCTTTCTAAACTCTACACCAAAGCCACCCAAAAATCACGGGACACAGCCAAACCAAACCGCAAACCTACGATTCGTTAGAGGGGAACTAAAAGGGACCCCGGAAGGCGCCTAATCCTAGCGTTTCTTGGCTCCTGTGCAGACGAGGAATTCCGTCGAGCACGTGGCGCGCGAGAAGGAAACATGCTTCAAACCTCTCCAATCCAGCAGAGATAGGACGAGGCTGGAGGTGGCGAAGGACGAGGAGGGCGAATGGAGCTTGGAGTTGGGGAAGGAGGGGCGGTGCCCATGGGGGAAGGAGGAAGCTTTGTGCGAGGCCGGGAATGGAGGTAGTTATAGAGTAGGGGAAAAGGTGAGCGGGGAGAAGAAGGAAAAAAAATTGTTGGGTGGGTGCTGCGGATTTTGTTATTGTTTTCTCCTTCCTTTTAATTCCTTCGTTTCCTTCGTTTCCTTTTTCTTTTCCCTTTTTTATTTTATTATTATTATGTTTTTATTATTGGTCAAATCAAAACCCATGGACAAGCGACCGATTAATGGAGGCATGAAATTATAGGGCCTCCTTTGTAACGCTAGATTTTTTTTCTATTTCTACGTTTTTTATGTGAAAAATGAACTTATTTTTGTAAAATTCATATATAATTCCTATAGATTCTTGTGCTCTAAAGAGGGCCTAGAGCAACGCAATGGGATAATACCCACTACTACCTCGTGTTGCATGTAGTGATAGATTTGTTGCCACATGGGGAGAATGAGATGGGGCCAGCCTAATGTCTAAGGGCAAAAACTAAAAGATCTTGAATAATTTCTAAATTCTAAAACATCAAGTTTTCTAAGATGGAGAAGTATCAAGGTAAAAATCAAGGAAAGTTTTTCTATTTATTTATCATTTTTTTCTTATATATACTCTCTCAGTCTCAAAATGATAAGCATATTTTGTATAGAAAAAAGTCAAATTACACAATTAAATCAATAATTAGTCAAATTATATTCAAAATTAGAACATAAAACTTACATCAATAGATTTGTATTTAAAATTATTCTAGAATGATATTGATTCTTTAGCAAACAACATATTATAAGATAAAAATAATACCAAAACTTATTTTGTATGACTTTTTTCTAATCAAAGTACGATTATATATATTCTAGGACAGAGGGTGTATTTATATTAGGTGGTCAATCCATTCGGAACGTGAATGCTGATGTTCTTTCTATTACTAAAAAATTGGGTCGAATTGCTTCGGAATGTGTACCTCATGTTATCTCAAATATGAGTTAATTCGGACATGGTTACAATAATATGAGTATATATTATTAAATTTTGATGTGGGAAGAAATGTGGTGTTGGTCAATTCACACTACAAATGACAAAATTTACTGATTATCATTATAAAATTACACTTATTTGTCGTAAGATACCTTATCAATTATTTTATTCATTTATTAGATTTCAAGGTGAGAATGTGGGAGGAAATGTCTTTTGTAGTTTTATGTCCTTGTCTTCAACCCCATCTCCTCATTCCTCATATGCTCCTCCGGCCTCCTCACTCGGTGTTGCCCGCCTCCGATGTGTCCTTGTGCATATTTACAGAGGTGGGCCTTCTAAGAGGTCCGTCTCTAAAAATAGCCTCTATTTTTTGAGACGGATCTCTTAAGAGGCCCGCCTTCGTAAATTCATTTTAGGAGAAGGGCAATTTTTTACCGTCTCCGTAAATCCATTTTAGGATACGGACAATTTGTGACCGTCTTCATAAATAAAACGTCCGTCTCCAAAAATCCTCAGGTATTTTAGGAGATGGTTGGATGTTTGCTACGCAGACTATGTCATTTTACGAGATGAAAGAGACTAAGAGTAGTGTGAGGTGAAAGAGACTAAGAGTAGTGGGTGTGCTCCATGGTACTGCTCAGACTTTGGTTTGTGTAATAGTTTAATAATGGTGTAAGAGACTAAGTGTAATGAGACATTGGTTTGTAAGGACTCCATGCCACTCCTATCACTGCCGATTAACCTCTGCCGGCATGAACTCCGCTAGTGATAGTTGCATCTAACCCGGCGGTGATTATCAATTCTGGCGCATAAATCAATTTCCATAATTGTTGTTCCATTTGCCTTCGAAAATCAATTTCTATTAATCAAATTTTAAGGACAGTTAAATAGTCATGCCTACTTGATTCCTAGAGAACCTTGAGTAAGCCTAGGGGCGAAGCTATATATTAGTTAGGGAGTGGAAACATGCTCCCTCAAAAATATAAAACAATGATTTTAACTAAATTTCATTATATATGCACTTCCTAAGTAAATGTCTATACACCAAGACAAGAGTACTCTCCTCTAATTCAATCTAGCTTTACCACCGGTAGAGAAAGGTCGTAAGAAAACGCACAAATGAAATCTGACCGTGATTATAAATACTAGTGTTTTGACGCACCCTCAAAATTATTTGTGCATTGGTGTATCTGGCAACATACCAAACATGCATGTAGGCTACATCACCAATGACTCCCTGGCATCCAGTTCCAGACATAGCAACATCTGCAAAAGGGTGTTTGAGAATATGAAAACTCTTAAACGTCACTTTGAGCCACATGACACACTATCGACATTTATACTCCTTCGAAAGCGACACATTTGATTGGCATCATATCATATCATATCACTTAGAGTGCATATTATTAAAGATGTGCTACCTCTTATTAGAAGAGCTTAGCACCGCAGCAGATGTCTTACCGGTTGCGGGATACCTGCTGAGGTCTTTTTAATCCGTTGGGGCCCTTTCAGGAGGTTGGAAAGCAAAATAATGAAAAGGCAAACTAGAAGTTAGAAAATAGTTCAGATGCTAAGTTGAAAACAAGAGGATATGAAGAACATAATAAACTCTACATCTTTGCAACGAGCAATCTTCGTGTTTTTTCCCTTTTTTTGCAGCAACAATTTGTTAGCACTGAAGATAGAGCCTATATTGCATATCCATGATCTATTCACATCGCGCATGCCACGAGTAGAAGAAAATAATTAAGATTAATTTCTCAAAACCATTATCCCTCTCGGATGTTCTACCATATTGGTCTCTGACTGAATGCAACTATATCTCAAGATTGATTAAATTTTGTTTACAAATATTTATTATACTAAATAAGTATTATTAAATTTACTATGAAATATATGTTCATAACAAAATTGTTTGGAGTCATAAATGTTGATAATATTTTTTGTAAGTCCTGTCAAATTTCAAATAGTTTAAGTAGGGAAAAACTAGAGTTGCATTCTTCGTGGGATGGAGGTCTCATCCATGCTGGACGCTCTCATCCACACCGGCCGCCCCACCTCTATGACGATTACCATGCCCTACCTCCACGCCGACCACCCTCCTCCACTGGATTCTCTTTCCTTGATCGCCCAGATCCGCCACCATCAAGATCTGAGCCCTAGGGGCCACGCCATCTTGAGCCCTAGGGTTTGCGCCACCATCATCGCTGCCACGCCACCTCGCTCGAGGTTGCCTCATCCCGATCCTCCTCCACCGCTGCCGCCTACATTGACATGCTCTACAACTTTGAGTAAGTTCAATTTTATCGTGTACCCTAGCTAATGTGGTTTCTGGAAATGTATTGTGTTTGATACACTATAACTTATGTGTTTTTATGCTTCAATTCTTATAGCAATCATTGGATTTGTGTATTCGTTGATGTCAAGGTAGGCATAGCTTGGGTATTGTATTCACTAGGTAAGGATGAGGAGACATACAAAGACTTCATATGCATTGTCCAGGCCTATATGAACCATCCTCACTAACTTAGATGTGTATATCTAATTGTTATACTGTGTTTTGAATACTAACTTGGTTAAATACTTATGAATGGGGCATATAGGCACTATGTTAATCAACTAAAGGGGGAAGCATAATCCAAAAAGGTTGTCTGAGTTGTATATCAAAACAAAATGGCCCATACATCTCATTATACTTTAATACTTCAACTTAATTGATGCCTTATGTTTATGCCAAAGTACTTGCTATTATGATATGCAAAACACGTTGCATTGAAGCAATGCCACAAAGCAAAGTTTCGGGAGAGTCTACATTGTGAATATTATGTCTACGAGTACATGAGGATCACTGGAAGGTGCTCGAGATGCCTTGAAAATGTAAGTAATTAGATCATCTCACCATATAAGTTGGGAGCGCACACATGTATATGTTATAAACCACATCATTGTAAATTATGTTTTCTTGTTGTGGCACAATGACCAAGCTATTAAAAATAGAGTACTAGACGATGGAAATCTCCCGAAGATTGTTGGGTCGGGGACCTATGATAGTTTATCCTCGAAGAGTATACACAAAAACGATGACTACCATGACCCATCGTGCGCGATAGGATATCAAGTTGATTGCAAGGGGGTCCGTGAGTGGGAAGCTTTAAGCTTAGGTCATTGAAGTCAATGTGCATATGATGTAACATTATTACCATTGATGTTCGCTCTGTTGAATGTATGTACATGTGTATATGTATATATGTTGATGACAATGTACATATGTATATAATGTTATAGATTTTTGGAATTGGTGCATGTGAATACTATATGTGTATGTAGAATTTAAATTTTCAATTTCAATTTTGGCAAAAAAAAAATTAGAGGCTGTTGGAAATCCCAGTCGCCTCTGCCTCTGGAAAAGCTAGGGTTTTCCGGTCATCTCTAAAAAAATAGATTTCTAGATATGGTTGAACAATCACCTCTAATTGATTTCTAGAGACACATGGGTAGAGATGGACGGAGCAGCCACCTCTACAAACTCTTTCTAGCCGTCTCTAAAGATCGTTTCCGTGGTAGTGTCCACCCATCGAACATGATCTACTAAATTTGAAAAAGGCATGCTGGGTTATGGAGACGG